TTGTTCTTGCGTTTGAGAAACCGGAAACTTGAATTTCCGGTTCTGGAATGGATATGTTTGAAATTACCCTTATTTATGTTGGTGTTACCCCATAGCATAATGCAAACTAATAAAAAGTTTGGTTCTCTCATGCTTAATAGCATAGGACAATTCTTTGACAGAAGGCCGCTCGCGACCGAGTTACCACTAATGTCCATTACTCTTAATAAACATAACTAAATGGCAGTTTTTCTAACTAACAGGCTTTCGCCGGATTAAATCCCCTCAATGGATCAAAATAGCGGGACAAAATATTGGCTTTACTACCAAGTCAGCTTTCGTCATGATCCTTGCAAGAATTCGTGGACACACTTTATTGTCCCAGCGGTTACACTTGACCTTTTTTCAAATTTTTTTCATGTTTTAGAACCCAGATTATCATCAAACTTTACAAACGAGAGCATAAAATTTGCACAGGTGACTTGATGAATAAGACCAAAACGCTTAACATGTTTTTTATTTAAGTATTTTCACCCAACTATCCCCGGTGCCTAATACGGATGCCGTTTGTCTTTGATAGTTCATGCGTAAAAGTCTGTAGAATTCGATAATGTACAGTAATGGTTTCTTTTACATTTTATGGCAGCTGTATATGCTAACGTGTGATAAAATAGAAACAATGTGGCTTGTAAGGCTGAAGGTCTATGGAAAGGTTTGCATTCAAATTAATTTGCCGCGGTGGAAACATGGCTTTACAGCAAATTGCCATACTAACAGCATCATTGTGAGTTGAAGGCCTAGACCACAAGGGCATATTTTTCCTCTGATCGCAGTGATTGAGGGCATTCTGCGGTTTTAGTCACCAGACATGGCTGAACTCGGCTATACCCACATCTGCAAGCTACAACCTCCCACTTTTGTAATCCTAATTGTGTGAAAACATTATATTATACAGTATGGCGAGTGCTGCATGAAACATTCTGCAATTTGAAAAAGACCGGTAATCCCTCGCAAAGCAACATTGAGCAGGGTTGCAATGCTGTTTATTATGCAGTCCAATTTCAATTATTTTCAGTCACGCTAGGATGCCGACCCTGC